CTATGTCTCTTGGTGCATGGGAGTTGTCCAGCCAACATCAAGGGACGAGGAGTTTCATAGGCACAAGTATTCACAGGGTCGCGGACCAGTTCTTTTTAAGGGTCAGTGATGTGCTCACACTTCTTTGCAGGTGCCCATCTTCACCAAAAGGCTTCACCTACCTATGTGTTCCCATGCGGCTGAGTGGTCTTCATGGAGCACTTACGATAACTCAGAAGTCAAAGGAAAGATAGGATCTAAACTGTGCGAGTGCTGAAACAACCATGTAGGGAATTTAGAGAGGCAATAGATATGGGAGAAAGAAAAAAACAAGAAAGAAAGCCCCCAAACCTATAATAATTTGAACATTTTAAGCGATTTTCTTAAGAAAATGCTACAGCTAATTTTTAACAGGCAAGAAAGTGCACGTTCAGTTTGTACTGATAACTTCACAGAGATACTACGTAATTATCCCAAGCAATGCAACGTAAAATTTTAAGTTCCACCACCGGTTATATCAAGTGGACCATGTGCACCTACAGTGTGTCCCGAGTTATTGCAGGCCAACTAGACGGTGCACACAGCTACCAAAAATACATTATCAGCCTCGTCCCGCTTTGAGTGTCTCCGCAAGCTCTCGTCTTGGAGAGCTGCTGCTGACCACCAGGAACCGGCTGGTGAGGGAAACTACTCCGCTGGTGTAAATCTTCAGACGGAGGCAAGATTGCGGGTCCTCGCAAAGCATCTGTTTCTTCGCTGGCCAGTAAGATAATGGGAGAACCTACTAAACCTCATCAGCAATGAGCTATGTAATACCAGTAGCCGTCTTTCCTCTTTCTGTCCTTGTAAAACACCTCTATCCTACAGCCTTCTGGATGCAGGCGTCCCCCCCGTCTCACCACGTTACTCCTGTAGCTCTTACAGGTCCTTAACGCTATTACTGCTGTAACGTTGTTGCACAGCGAACTTTCAAACTAGGGCTTTCCTTTCTACCGGGTCGGTTTTTCTACTAGGCTTCAGGGCCCTTCTGTGTAATAAACGCGCTTAGCTCAGTATCTAAGAGAATAATGACTGACTTGAGACCAAGCTGGATTTCAAAACTCCACCTAAAAATAGATATAGGTTATATTGGCGTGTGTTTTCCGTTCACATATGGAATAGAAAATCTTCTGCAAGACTTAGTTTTCATGCAGGGATATCACTAGTGATCGCCGCCGGGCTGTAAAATAGTTTAAACTGCAGTTTTCTTATGCCGGCAGCAGGCAGCGCGGAGCCGGGCCTCAGCTGGCTCTGCCTTGCCCATACCAGCCTGCTTGCTATGCGGACACGCCGTTTGGGGCCAAATATTATGGAAGGCTGCACAGAAAACATGTTTCAGGGTTGTGTGGTTTTGTGTGACTACCGCACGGAGGCATTTAGCTGCTTCAGCTTCTTTTAAATGGGTTTTCTCAGAGTAAAAGCCTGTCGGTATTTCCTTGACTCGAGGCAGCTGAAGTTGGAAGCGCGGAGACCTCTCCTGGCAAAAACACACAGCGAATCAGGGGGGAAAGAGCAGCCGCCGGCCGTCCTGGTGGCACCCACCGCAGGCTTCGCTTGGGGTGACTTTCCTGCCTGGAGAAAGGGGAAGGGATGTTGCCTGCCTAGTTAATGAATGACAAGTTGATTTTTTTTTAGCTATTCCATACTAAGTACCGGGGGGGGGGTGGGTGTCAACCCTGGACTTGCATGGCCCAGGAACACCCTCGGGCTGGAAGATAGCTGGATCAGGGTACCTAAAGCATCCTTTAAAAAGCCACTCGAGGAAGATACATGACACGGGAGCTCTCGGAAGGGCTGGAGGAGAGGGAAGAGCATTTTGTAACAAGCAACGCTAACGGGCAGTGCTACCAGCCCTGCTTGCAGCAAAAGACCTCACCGTCCCAACATTTAATGTAGTAACTTGGGAAAGCATTGCAGGACAGTGATTCAACCGAGTGAAATAATCCATTTGCAAACCAGCAAAGCCCCTAGTTTTACGGCGCAACCCTAGAGGGCAGTGCTCCCCCGCTGCTTAGCCGGGCTCAGCCAGCAGCTCCGGGCGGCATGGGCAAGGAAAAGCTGGGTGCCCTGGCTCCTGTCACCCTTTGTCTGGACTGCTGCCGGGAGAAGCTCGAAACGAGGCTAATTCTCCCACCGCCTGCATGAAGCTCAAATCGTGTCATCCCTGTGCCTGACACCCGCAGCCCACCTAGGGGCTTAAAGACTCGAGGCGCAAAGATGAGATGATTTGAAGTTCCCATCCCCATCCTATCTCCATAGCGTTACAAAAGCCCGCTTGAAAGCCGTCTTTTTTTGCACGCGTGGCCAGAGAGCAAACGTCAGGCTCGCCGGGTCTTGCAGTTCGCAGTCCCGTGCGTTTGCTGGTAAACAGGGGCTGAGCATCGTGCAGCCTGCCAGGAAAAGCTTAACACGAGTTTCATCACGTTCAGTTGTTTCATTGCATAGGATAAGTGATTAAAGCAAGTCCTCCAGCCTTCACACGAGCTTTGGCCTCGGCTTTCCCCCGGGGAATTCTGGCGGCCGGGAGGGGGATGCTGGCGCACGAAAGGCACGGCCGCGATTGCCGTGGTGTGGTTTAACAGCCCTCCGTGCCAAGGCTGCCTCTGCTCGGCTCTCGGGCTGCGGGAGGGGATTCGAGGGGGCAGCAGAAGGAGCAGGGTTGCCTCTCCGTGCCCCAGGCAGCAGCAGCTCCTCAGAAATGCGAGCGGTGGAGGCAGGTGCTGGATCAGGGCAGGCTGTTGCATCCCCCAAGCCGCCGCAGGGCGCCGGTGACGTGCCGTGAGATGTCCCGCAGGACGCAGCTGCTCCCGTCTGGTGAAGCAGCACAGGTTTCTCCTGCAGGGCCAAGGGACTGCTCAGGACATGGGTCGAGGAGAGCAGATGAGCATCATCCCCCTGCCCTTCCTGGTCCTGGGGACATCACCCAGCCAGGGCAGAGGGACCTGCTGGCGCAACGGCAATAGCTCCAAGCCCACAGACCTGGAGCAGAGCACCAATCTGGGTGCTCTCCACAGAGAGCTGCAAGGGGCAGGAAAGCCACCGCGCCCCAGTGGCACGGCCTCAGGACGGGCTCCCCAGCCAGCCCACCCCATGCCCAGCCCTGGCAGCACCCGGGGAGAGCTACCCAGACCTGGGCGTCCAGACCAAAGGCATCACTTGTACATGCACAGCCGCCCGGTCACCGGAGATTTGCACTGCTCTTGTCACCCAAGGGAAGCCCCAAAGTCCCCTGGCTTCACCCGCAGCAATCACTTCCCCTTCACTCCCTCTCTGCCCCGCTCCTGGCACTGGCAAGGCCAGAGATACGTGGCCCAGCCGCTCGCCAACTGCCGGCCCATAGCGAGAAGGCGTTTGGGAAGGTCTTGCCACCACGTGAGGAGAACAGACCAAGCTTGAACAGAAACATGCCTGTTTGCCTGGTTGCCAAGGCCCTGGCCACCCCATTTGCCCTTCACACTGTGGCCCTCCAACCCCTCCGTCTCCAGCCAGCGAGGGCTGGAGGTGGAGGGCCAGCAAGCCCACGCTCTCCTGGCCACAGCTGCTTGGTAGGTCTTTCCACCGCTATTGACCCCTGCTCCTCCATCCACACCCCATCGTTTCCCCCTTTCTCACGCTCTCCCACTATTATCCCATTTGCTATGTCGTCTCCCATAAATTTCCCTCTTTATTAAGCCCCAGCTCTCCTGGCCACAGCTGCTTGGTAGGTCTTTCCACCGCTATTGACCCCTGCTCCTCCATCCACACCCCATCGTTTCCCCCTTTCTCACGCTCTCCCACTATTATCCCATTTGCTATGTCGTCTCCCATAAATTTCCCTCTTTATTCTGTCTTCTCCTCTTGTTTCCTCCCGGTCTCCCTTTTTTCTTTCTTCCACCTACCATTCCTCCTCTTCTCATTCTTTTCCGGTCACCCCACCCCCCCTTTTCTCCATCTATTCACCCTCATTTCCCCCCTTTTATCCATTTGGTCCATCATTTCCCCCCTTTTGTCCTGACAGCACACGTGCAGCACACGTCCCCAATGGTGGGGACCGGAGCGCAGTACAGGGGGACGGAGGGGAGCAGGGCAAGCACGGAGGGGAACGGACGAGGCCAGCACGCACGGAGCCTGCTGGAGGGGAACGGAGCGTGCCGAGAGGTCAACAGAGCGGAACCGAGTGCTCTCAGAGGGGACTGGCCGGGAAAGCCTTGCCTCCGGGCAGCTCTGCTCACAGACCCCTTGGCCTCATGCAGGGCCATTTGCACAAGCCCAAGGCGTTTCCTCACAGCGGGGGCTTGGCCCTGGGTATCCCTGGGGGACCCCAGCATCCTGCTCCCCAATCCTGGGATCAGCGCCCTGCCCTATGTGGGGTCTACAGGAAGGGGAACTGAGGCACGGGGCGGATGTGGCTTCACCAATGGGGCAGAACCAAGGAGAACATCCCCGAGGTGGAGCCGTGGCACCTAGCTCCTGAAGCTAGGGTCATGGGGGATGAGTGGGGGCACCCGTGGGCTGGGTGGAGGGTGCGCTTGGCCGTCCTGCACCCAGGCATGGGGTGCTGCCAGGTAGCGTTGCGATGAGGAGATCCCCCTTGCACAGGCAGCTCCGTGGCCAAGCCTGCCCACGTGGGTCAAGCAGGGCTGCTGTCCTACAGCAGTTACCAGGCAGAGCCAGGGGTGGGCCAGCATCGTGGTTGCTCCCCTCTGCAGAGCTGCAGAGACCGTCACTGCCCGTGGCATGCAGGGGACACCAGCAAGTGCTGGGACTGAGATGCTCCCATCCCAGGTTTGCCTTTGCCCCTGCTAGCACACACGCTGGTTGGCCGCTCGAGCCCTCCTGCCTGGCCCAGGTCTCGCGGGCACCAAGGTGCTCCCTCCCTTTCACCCTAAATGTGCTGCCACCCCAAGCACCCAGCCCTGGCTGCGAAACCACCAAGCAGCTGGTGGCTCTTTGCTGGAGAAGAGAGCATGCCACGCCATGGTGGAAAGATGCAGCGATGCTCATGGATGCAGAGTGGTTTTATTAGCCGCCCTGTGACCGCGTTGCCAAAGCTCACGTTCCCTCAAAGAGGGGGCTGATGTGTAGAGATGGTGTTACCATACCTGCCTTGGGTGGGCCTGAAATCCAGGGAGCTAGCAGGAGCGTGGGTCCGGGGAGCGGGCATGGGGGATGCAGGGGAGTGCGCAAGGGGCCTCACTCGGAGGAGCCTTTGGTGTCGCAGCGTGTTCCCTGCCAGCTGTCGTAGCACTGGCAGCTGAACTCCTTGGCCAACTGGGAGCTGTCCTTGTCAGACGTCAGGCTCCGCACCACGAAATGGGGCTTCCTGGGGTGTGTCTCGATGGAGAAGTGGAAGGGGTTGAGGTGCAAGAAGCCCTCGTTCTTCTTCTTGCGCACGCAGCGGCCCTGGCCGGAGCACAGGTTCTGGCTGCACAGCTCGGCGCTGGCCGTCACATTCACGATGTAGTGACCCAGGTCCCCATCCAGGTAGTTCTTCAGCTTCAGGCACATCTCCTGCAATGGGGCACGGAGGGGTGTCACAGCTCTGACTGGCAGCCAGGACTCCCCAGCGACAGCCCCTGCCCGCCTGGCAGCGTGGCCATGCCCAGCTCTGCCCCAATCCTCGCGCTCACCTGGGAGTCGCTATAGTTGAGGCTTCCCCACAGCACGACGCCGGCAGCGCCCTGGGCTGCGCTCTCTCCGATGGTGTTCACCAGGTCCTCCTGCCCGCCAAGGGAGAGGAGAAGTCAGCCTGTGCACGGATCCCCCCAACTGCCAGTACTGCCATCACCGGCACTGGCATCGCCACCACCACCACTCACAGCCACCGCCACAGCGTGGGAGCCGTGCCATTGCCTGCAGTACAGGAGCTATGCTGTCATCCATGGTACAGAAGCTATGCCAGACCCATGTCATCGCCCACAGGATGAGTTTCGTGCCACAGCCAGGCCAGGATTGACTCACAAAAGGCAGACGCAGGCTGGCAATGCAGAAAGAGCAGAATGCAACCAGCAACCATTTCGCCCAACCCCAGCCCAAGACCCACGTGATCCCCCTGCCTTGTCTCTCCAGGAGATTGGAGGACCCTCCCCGACCAGGACCCAACCATCACAGACACTTTCTTCTCGTGCTGATCAAAGAACTCCTCTGAGCCTCCCACAGCTCCCTCCCAGCCCAGCAAGCCTCACCTCAGAAAGGAAGTTGACGGTGTTTTCAAAGGAGATTTGGGCGTAGGGCAGGACAGGGATGCTGCCGTCGATGACACCACGCTGGACGGCGAAGGCCTCAGCCACCCGGTGCCGGACATAGCTCAGCACCTTGTTCGTGCCGTTGAGTTCCTGGGGCAGGTAGATGCTGGGGTAGAGCGCATGGCTGTTCTTCCACAGCCAGGACAACTCCTTGTTCCTCATCTGCTCAATCACGGGGCACTTCCCCGAGTAGTCCCAGCTGTCAAAGTTGTTGTTATAGCAGTCAGGGAAGCCATAAAAGCCCCAGTAGCCATTGGGCCGGAGGATTTCACCCAACTCCAGTGTCTGCTCCATGAAGGCCCGAGCACTTTGCTCGTACTCCAGCTTCGCCATCTCTTTCACTATCCTGGAGGGCCAGAGTGGGTGCTCCTTCCTCACTAGAGCCTCTGACTTCTCCCGGTAGATGTTCATGGAAGCCCAGTCACGGGCCCACAGCGGGCGCCACTTCTCCCAGTCGATGACAGCCAGACCATTGTAGGAGACGTTGGGCAGGGCAGTCTCGATGTCCCTGGAGGCCTGGTGGAGATGGGCCTGGAGGCTGGCGTTCTGGGGCAGCCCGCCATCCACGGGCACCCCCGCAGCCGTGTAGTAGGGGAAGAGGCCCAGGGACTGGCTGTAGAAGAGCGTGACATCATCCCCAGTGAAGACCTGGTCGGTGTTGGCCACGATGTCGAAGACCCCCAGGTTGAGGGTGACATTGTACTTCTTGGCGCAGGCCTTGGTGGGGGCGTTCCAGATGGTGACGAAGGGCCGGTTGACAAGGACAGGGCCAGCTCCGTCGGCCCAGGCCATGGCGGGCAGGAGCAGCAGCAAGGCCCAGCTGTACCACGTGGCTGCCATGGTGCCAGTGAGAGGGGACGTGGCAGGGGAGCAGGACGGGTCCTGACTCGGCCTGCAGATAGAGCCCTGGGATAGACCTGTGCCAGCCTCACCACACCAGGGCCCTTTTAGCCCCCTATAAACCGGGGCGAGAGCCGACGGTGCCTGTCACCCCAGGCTCTCCCACTGATTCACGTGAAGTCCCCAAGGTTATCAGCAGCTGGTGGGCCCTGGGGCAGGTGGCAGCCACAGACTGGTGCTTCGAAGCCCGGGTTAATGACTGACTGCAGAGGGAGCAGGTCTGGAGAGGACAGCACAAAGTCAACACGTAGGGGAGGAAGGGCAGGGAGAGCAGAACCGCTTTGCGCTGGGCTGGAAAGACAAACTGACATCATCGGGAAGGGAGGGGAGGGGCAAGGTCACAGTGACGGACACGCAGGGCATGATGGAGGCACCGCTGAGGAATGATCATAGCACCAGGTGCAGGCTAGTAGAAGCAGGACGAGGCCTGCAGGACGATCCCAGCACCAGACGTGAGCTGGCAGGAGCGGGACAAGGCCTG